TCCTGGGTTAACTTTCTTTATTTTATTTTGGGCACACTACCCATATGGCCATCTAGAAGCAAAATTAATAAGCACATGCCAAAGTGTTTTAAGTTACTATATCCCAAATGTCGTGGCATCATAGATGCATCTGAAATCAAGGTCCAATCACCATCTAGTATGGTTTTAAATAGCGGGTGTTATTSCTCATATAAGAGCCACACAACGTACAAGGGGAATGTTGTTATATCTCCCTCAGGTGAAGTTATTCATGTTAGTTGCCTTTTTGAAGGTAGCATATCAGACAAAGAGCTCGTCAGGCAATCAGGTCTATTAGATTTGCTTGAAGCAGGAGATGAGATCATGGCAGACAAAGGCTTTACCATACAAGACCTTTTAAAACCACTCGGATGTGATGTTACTATACCTGCTTTTCTYTCTAGTAAGGGCCAGTTTTCGAAGAAAGAGCTTCTGGAAAGCAAGCAGATACACAACTTAAGGGTTCATGTAGAAAGGGCCATTAGAAGGRTGAAAGAGTTTCACTATTTTGATCGTGTAATTCCCCTCACTGTGGCTGGAAGTATTAATCAAATATGGACAGTAGCATGTCTTATAACTAATTTCCAGGGACCTTTGTATTATGAGCATTCATGAATTAAAGGTGGTCACATAACTTATTATTGACAAACATATATACTTTTACTATTTGTAGTCATTCTCTTTCTGTACTAGGAGTAGTGATCGAAGATGCACAATRTGTCCTGAATAATTTCCAAGGACCATTTATTTTATGAGCAAACAAAAATAGTACTATTTTACAGATTTTCACTGTACTTGTGTTTATATTTGTTCAGCAATAAAATACTAAGTATTCAACACATAATGTTTGTACTCTAATAGTTACAACTTTTACTAGTAACCTTAGTTCACAGTTTTGTATCCACAACATCAGTGATTTTAATTTAAAGCAAACTACAGGAAGTTTGGATTTGCTTTTGTGTCTGCCCTGACTATTCTATCATTGTAAATTAAAATCCACTGAGATGTACATATAATTGCAACAGGTTTAGTGAAATCTCTATTTTTCTACATAGAAATATACTTACTCAATGCAAGAAGACAAGTGATAACCAAAATAAAATAAATTCAATTTGTCCAACATTTCTGAAAACACACTTTCATCAAAGTAAATTCTTTCATAGTGGAATTCTTGACGGCAATAGACATAGAAATCTGACCATTGGCAGCCAGTTAAACCTAAGCACCCCATTACTTGGTAGTAGTAGGCATGAACTTTCTTAAGTGAATATGCTCCACCAGAGATCCTCAGATAATTTAAGTTCTCCAGTTTGTCTGCAGGGGAACACTTAATCTCCAAAAGACCCCATGGCTGAGCTTCACTGTTATCATGCACCCTCCTGTCTGGGCTGCAACCAAGATGTGGCACTGAAGGGTTTATCAGGAAACCAACTTTGTGAGTTTCTCTGGCAAACTKTTTGGTATACAATTTGGCAGCCACATCCTCATTTTGWATCCCATATTTCATGGCAGCAGTCTGGATAAATTTGCCTTTGAGAAGGCGCTTTGATAAAGTGTCAAAGTCCTTCCTCCGGGAACAAATGTTCTTGAAATTTGAGGCAGTTAGCCTAAATTTTCTTAGTGAATGCCAAGCATTAGTCATAGATTGCTCCCTCGTCTCAACTTCAAATTCCACAGATTGATTATGRGTTACAGTGAGGGCACTAAAGAATAAATGTTCTCTTTCACCCAGTACAGTATGGCAATAACTGAGTTKGGGAAACTCAAAACCAGGTAGCTGAATACTTGGCTCTTTCTTAGCATTAAGTGGTTGCTGGTAGCTGATCACACAACCTTWAGGGACTTCACCATAGGCTGACTGAACTAGCACCTGCTCTTCCTCTTTGTCTGGCCATATCCTTAAGAAACCAGGATTGGGTTCAATTTCACTAAACGTTTGGGCTAGTATCCCTGGCAAGTCGATGTCTTGGAGCGGCTGTTCAAATGGTTTATAAACAGTACTTCTTACTCCTGACACCTTTCTCTTTTTCTTATAAGGTTCCCCAGTTTGCTTTGGTTTGGACTTCTGGATTACCAGTTTGGTCACTGCTCTGGGATTTATACCCTCTAGGCGGCTGGGAATATGCCATGTCTGTATGAATACAATTGGAAATGTATGCTTTTTCTGCAATTTGTATCATAAGTTTACAACTCGTGGTTTTCTCAGACTATGCTATACAGGATTTAGATCACAAATTCCTTTGCACATTTGCTAGTTCATGCAAGTTTTTTGTTATATACAGTAGGTTAAAATTACTACCTGAGGTTTCRAAGTTTTGGAAATCAGTGGTGGCACACTTTTCAAGCCCAGCATTTGGTAATGCGCCAGAGTAAACAACAAACCAAGTACGTGATGGCAAAGGGCTTGACCAGCGGCACAGCTACWCTGATTTCGGTCGATTATTGTTGTTGTTTGTGTTCGTMTGAACACGACGGACAGTTTGTGAGGTTCTTCATTTTTTTTCATGCTTCGATAGCATTTTGAGCGGACCATGATGGCAGTGTCACCTTTACTGAGTTTTACTGCGATAAACAATAGAAAAATAACGTTGACTTTTGTAAAAAAAAAACACACACACAAAAAAAAAACACCGAATAATAAGTTAACAAAGGAGACAAGTCTTACATATCTTACCTTCTACATCGTGAATATAGTCTTCGTGAAAGAACTTGTAACCTCTGCTCAAGGTTTCTAAAATAGGAAGGCTTTTTTTCGAAAATTCTTTAATAAATGTGGTTGAAATCTCTGGGAGATCTAGAAGACTTCGGTGCCAAAACTCCGAGTTGCTACTAGCGGACGCCATTTTAGTTTACCACGCGTGGCCTCGCTTTCGTGCTAAAATTGAGTGACGTCAATCCAATATGTCGGGACGCGATAAAGGCGAATGCAGAATGAAAATCAGAAATTTTCCTGAAGGAGCCATTTGAAATATGCATGCACATTAAGTACCCTGAGTTCCAAGCTAACGCATTTGCAGTATTGTCCAATTATGCGCTTGTCCGTACCACGCCTTTTTTCGAACAATTTCTAAAGACTCTGATCTTATATTTGCTGCAACTTCTATTCTTCTACATCAGTGTGAGAAGAGCTATGACACTTTTACTCATTCTTATTTTTCATTTTTTGCATGATGCTGATGGAAATGGAGTCCAGTATAATACTAATGCGAATCATCTAGTCCACATCAGCTCATCTTTTTAAAATTACTCTTTATTTTTCTTCCAAGGATCACTGACAACTTCATCAATGAAAACACAAGTCAACAGCCGTTTATCTTGGTATACCGCTGTTTTGGGGAGCCACAKTCCAAACGAATGAGATTCCAGTGGATGGTGAAGCTTTATGGCATAATGCGTGACAGGTATGATGAAGTTCGATGTCAGAAAACCACTTTGACAAGGGAAAGCAAAAAAACAACAAAACAAATAGTTTCTTGCACTGATAATCATGTTTTTATTATTTTCACAGATATCTCGATAATCTGGTCAAGTTTATTGTGTATAATCCTGAGATAAAATTCAAAGCAATACTCAAAATGTGCAAGCCTTTTATGAGGTAAAACTAAAAAAATCGCACAAGACTCTCATCGACGATTTTCAAAACTCGTGTTACGGGAAATGTTAATACTGTGGCGCAACTAATACGGACATTTCTGCATAAACTTTATTTTAAAGGTCTTTAATTTCCCGATTGTTCAACAAAAAATCGCAATGTTATAGTTTAGCCCATCCCTTTGTTTCAACTCACTTTGAATCGTGGCACACTTTTTTTGAGAAGCTTTCGAATCTGACACCGTTAATTTTTCAGTTTCAATTTTAAGCACATAAAATTAGATTTTGCCCCCTCCCCCCTCCACTTCTGTATTGTCAACCCCCCTCTTGATAAATACTGCGTAGTCTCTTATAATTAAAATGCGTCCTGATGCCTCTTACCTAGCTCTGACAGCGATTCCTTTTCCGAATAATAACAGGAGGGAGTTGTCAAGAAAATTGCTAATTGTTACAGATGCAAATTCGTTTTCCAAAGAACATCGCGGTAAGAGTGCAGTATTAAGAATTTTACGTTTTCCTTATTTTGATTGCCGATGAGCAGTATCCGAACAGTGGGAAGTGGGGCGACTCAATTTGAAAAAAAAGGTAGCTTATTAAGAGAACCTTGCGTTGATGAGCATAACAGTGATTTATCTGTTTCACCAATTACACAAATGTGAGAGTTTTGTTTGATTCTGATACCAAATTCCCTACTTACCGGTCATCAACCGCATAATAGAATTTAAATTATTTTTATTTCTTATAGGTCTATGGACGTAGACGATGTCTTTCCGGGAAAACCATTTTGTCTGATTGAGACATCGAAACACTACTTAGTTTCTGTTATAGGCGTCTGTCTTTTTGATAAATAAATGACTTGTTCTCATGAGCTATATGTCCGGCCTGATTAGTTTCCTTTTCCTGTTTTTTTTCCCCGTTTTCTTTTTTTTTTCGTTTTGGCCTTTTCGATTCCATATCGAGCATGCTCAGCTCTGAGAGACTGGGCCCCACTTCTTGACACATGCAAAGAAGCACGATTTGAAATATTCCGGCGACAAAATACTAGCAGTATTTTGTAAAATTGTTTAGTTTTAAATAGTTATTAATGGTGCTTTGCACTTTCTAAAATGGCTGTTAATCCTATGGGGCCGGTAACTCCATGCATTGTTGTGCACGGAGGAGCCAGTACTTTGACATCGACAAGTATTTTTCCGATGCTGGTTAATGGCGTTAAAAAGGCAGCAAGAATGGGCTACGAATGTCTGATGACAGGAGGAGAGCATGCTGCTGTTGATGCCGTGGAAGCAGCCATTAAGGTCAGTGCATGTTTTATGCTATATCCTTTTAGTATTGGATCCAATTTGACTGTATAAAAAATCGTTATAATWATTATATTCCATTATATCATTGGGATGTCATCCATCTGTAAACATGGATAGATGCGCAATCTGAGCAACTGTTGTTTCGTCTACTCGTCTACTGTTTGGCGGAGTAAGCTTATAGAAAATTGTTATCAAAATTCGAAGCAGCAGCGCTTCTAAGTCGAGAGCGATCGAGTTTTGAAGCTGAAGTGTTTTTGAAATAAAAATGTAGAAATTCTGGAACCTTTGGAAAACATAAGTTATAGCAACTTACGACATTTTATAGCCATTGTTGTCAGAATAGAACAATTATTGTAGATGACCAGGCGATTTTCAAKTGCAGAATGCTATGGTTGCATTTGCGGGTGGTTAATGTTTAACTTAAGTTGACATTTGGGCTCGGTGTTTGGTAAAAATGWMATTGTCACATTCAAAAAAATTTTGTACAAGATTTTTTTAGGGAGGGGAGGGGAGGGCTTATTATTTTGTAAACAGTAGAGAAGTTGAATGAAGGGTATTATGTTGTGATAATTATTTCGGATAATATATCACAAAAACCTTATCCAAAAATTTGTTTTATTATAATTATGTAACATTGTTTTCATTCAAAAAGAAGATCCCAACAAAACAATTCATTTCAATTAAGTACTTAGCTGCAATGAGCATATTTTTGCCACCTTTTGTCAGCAATGCACTTTTGAAAGCAACCCACCATAGATTATCAAGGAGATTATTGGGTAGCCAATTACATTTCAAGTAACCAGTCGAATGCTTGATTGTGAAAATTTCAAGTAGCCTGAATACCAATCAGATTTTAGATCATTAATACAATGTATAGCCTGCGTGCAGTCAAACAAATTTGGGTGTCTTAGCTAATGAGAGTTTTGGTTTGGTTTGGCTGCACGTAGGCTACACAATGTATAATATTACATGTTATTTTATGACCCATATTTGTTCTGGTTTGGCTGCATGCAAGTTACACAATGTATTATTATACCAGTTATTTTACCACCCATATTTGTCACAGTTTATGCTCTTAAAAAAACCTTTAATACGTGATATGTGGGCAGGGCTCAAAATAACGGCCGTGCAAAGGACAATGTCCTTCCAAATTTGCTAGGTGACCGGCCAAATCAGGTTTTGAAAGGACAATTGACCTGCCACATTTTTAGACAAATCAATTCTCAATTTGCTAAATAAATCTTTTACAAGCCATTAATTAAATGCTTGCTGATATTTCTTAATACAAAAAACTATAAATTAAAAGAAAATAGTATAATAAAGTTTTTGTCCTTTCAACTTGACATGATCTTCTAAAATGAATTTGGAAGGACATCTTGTCCTGCATATGTGTGGCTGTTATTTTGAGCCCTGGTGGGTAAAATAAGAGACTTTGATAATAGAGCACTCTTCCTAACTGAAAATAAACTACTGTATTATTGTAGGTCATGGAAGATGATTCTAATTTCAATGCTGGACATGGATCAAAATTAAACACCAGAGGGGAGGTAGAGATGGATGCAATGATAATGGATGGAAAAGGACTGGATTATGGTAGGCCTTTAAAAACTCACAAAAATGTGCATTCTTGTGCATCAGCAAAACTTAGTCACTTCTCATTTACATACACATTTCTGTGATTTANAGAAGTAATTTATGTCTCATGACGAGTCGTTACTTTAAGAGTCGCATCCTTGGCTGTACTTGGCTGTATCGATAGTCTTTCATGTTCTTCGCTTAAAATACTTCCAATCCTCTGTTTTTCCTCAATATAAATCTGTTGACATGTCTTAGATAAGTCCTTGGTGATTATAGAGCCGGTACTAAGAGTATAAGTTTGCTTTTGATAAGCTGATGTTTGATAGATATTAATTCACGATCGGTAGATTCACGATAAATTCGCTGTATCTCTCCAAATGCCCTATTGAGAAACGCTCGAATTTTTTAGTGTGGCTTTGCCGCGAATGGTGTGTGGATTTGTAAAAGAATCTAGCGTTCGACATCTTAAAACTTTGCCGGCTCTGCTGGCCATAMGAAGGTCCGAAGAAGCATGAGGCGACGYTTGAATCGTTGCTTAGAAACATGAATGACAGTAAGACAATAGATGTCAAAAATGAAAAGGTCCTGGATATAATTTGAAGCATACTACAGACGAAAAACGTCGGTAATTTAAGACATGGTCTTCCTTTGGAAGCCCTTAGATGGTCTTTTAAGTGATTCTCTTTAAGCGAAGGTCCAAGTTAATTGAATGAACCACGGAAACAAAATCGCTTAAAAAGTCACACACCAAGCTGGATTCTTTCAGCAAGTAAGCTCCTTCGCTACCTACAAACTTAATGATGTCCGTAGAGTAGTGACTAAAGGCAAAAAGGCTGAAAAAACTCTTTTTAGAAAGAAATCAGGAGAAATAAGTACTAAATAGTATTATTTAGACTGAAAATAAGAAACTGAAGTGATTTTTTGTCAATTTATCGAAAATTTCAAAAATACCCTAAATCGTCACTTATGCCGTTCTCGCATATGTGCCTACAAATAACTGGGGAAACTTAATGGTGCACATATTTTAATAGTAAAGATTTTCAATTACTTAATATCCAATTCTAAACATTTTTTTAGGTCGAAGAAATTAAAGGCAAGGCAGTTCATGATACGGTTAGTAATATCCCTGATGGCTGTCATACAGGTTGCCAACATAATTATGTTGCATATCGCTTATCAAATTCCAAYTTTTGCTAAAAGGATATTTTGGTAATAACTTAAGATAAAATATTTGTTGAATATTTTTCAGGTAGGTGCAGTAGCTGTTGACAGCTATGGGAATGTTGCTTGTGGTACATCTACTGGAGGTCTGACAGCTGTTCATCCAGGACGGGTTGGGGACTCTCCTATTGCAGGTAGTGGTGGATATGCAGATAATCAAGTTGCTGCTGCATCAGCTACTGGTAATGGAGAATCAATTTTTAGAGTAAACTTATCCAGGTATAATATCATCACTKAATGAGCCATTTTATTCATTCTATTTTTGTTGCGCTGTTTAATATATTGTTTTATGTTTACTGTATTTTGAAAAATGGTGGAAACTGGTGAGCTGTGTCGGTAGATAAATGTTACAAGTTACAAGTTACAAAGTGTGGTAGATGCCATTAATTTTAGGTTATTTCATAACTGTATTTTGAAAAGTTGAACAATTACAAATAGTGACAATGGTGAACATAATATCTTTGTAATGTTGTCTGTGTTAAAAATAGAGTATGGTCTCTGTTACAACAGATATCTTAATAAATTAAAGCCATTCCTTCCCCCTCCCAAAATTAAATGTTAGTAAATCCTCCATTCAAAAGAATTAGCTGATCAGTACCTAACAATTGACTATTCTTAAATTTCCAATAACAGGTTGAAGAGCCTTTAATCTTTGTGTACATTGATTGTTTATTCTATTGTTTTCTGAAGGAGGCCATTCTCGCCTGTACTGGAATTTTAAGAATAGTCAATAGGCAACACCAAACATGTTTTGTTCATTTGCAACAGCAGTTTTGTCCCCAATTGTGGGAATATGGTAAAACAGGTTTTTCAGCTTTCACGATTAACCATTTAATAATAAATCCTTTTTAAAGGTATGCACTTTTCATGATTCAAATTGGGCAAACCCCAGCAGATGCAGCTGCAGCAGCTCTCAGATACATGGAGCAGCATGTTGGTGGAACTGCTGGCATTATCATTGTAACCCGCGATGGGGAATCTGGTGTAGCATTCAATTCAGACCACATGCCATGGGCTCAAGTCAAGAATGGTGTCACAAGCTATGGTCTTCACAAAGGGGAAATCAAGACAGTGAAAAAGAAGAAAGGAAGGACTGGCCGACTTGAAAGTTTTGTTGATTCACCAGAAAAAACCTTTGATGATATATCTCAAGTGTCCTGTAGTACTAAGTCTGCCCAAATGAAAGAATCTGATACCTCTAATGTTGCAGCAATAGGGATGGATGGTGTTGATGGTGGTGATGTGTACGTCAACATGTAATTAACATAGCTTATTGTTAGGTATATTATAGTTAGGTTTCACATGACTTGTTTGGTATGATAAATTATTGCAGCAAGCCTTACAACAGCAGACCAAAACATGTTTTCAATAATGATATTTGCTTGCAAAATTAAAAAAAAAATGTTTGAATAGTCATTGTGTGTCACTAGTAGAACATTTTCTAGCAATATCCTAGTCACATCTTGCTATACTAGTCTTGGATGAGTTTTGAACAATAGCTACCAATGAATGATGGGTGTGAAAATATGTGTTWATTATTATTGCAAGCTCAACAAGCAATATTTAGCTTTGATACATAAACATGGCTTGACTGTTTGAAAAAGAGCCAATTTTAAAACTAGTACTTAATCATAGCATATTTATTTTATTTCTGACCATAATAATGGTTTATTGACTTTTGATTGAAGATTATATTTTAATTATACACWATGAGACAAATTATATAATAGTCCCTGGTAGCGGAGGAATTTGTAAAAACTGTCTTCTTACAGTACCTTTTTAGARCTACAGTTGTATATTCTCTCTCTCTCTGCTGAGTAGTTTAATCCCCAATATCTGCTTAGTTGTATGCTTTCTCTTAGCATTTGTATGAACCTGAATGGTTTTTCTGAAATAAAATGTCTTGCAGTGGGGTGTCTTTAATTACGGTACATGTGTCTTTTCGGGAGTCACCCATGAAAAGTACAAGCTAGTAGTACAAGGTATACTCTCTTTTTGTTTGTTTGTTTGCATTTTTTTTCTTTGGTGGTCCTCTTGAATGAAAATGTCTTGTCACAACAACAGACATACTTAAACATTTCCCATCAAATAATATTTCCTTTGTTGCGGGTTTATTAGGATGTGCTATGAGCTTGTAGGTTACACTGCACTGCAGTGATAATATTTGCTTAGAAGAATATATTTTATAAAGTACACTATAATAGAGTACAAGCACTAACACTGTGCAACATAAATACCACTAAATTTTGCTAAATCTATTG